TGTTTCCTCCTGCGGAGCCATACCTTAGAAGGGACTGGAGTTTTTGCAAAGTCGAAGAGGAAGAACTCTTCACACTTAGTGAACTGCAAAAAGCAGGCAAAAGATTGAAAACAGGCAAGGCGCCTGGAATCGATGGGATAAGTAACGAGATCCTAAAGTTGGTAATCGACACTTCACCCCAGATTCTGCTTCGATGCTTCAATCTTTGCCTTGAGAGAGGAGAGTTCTTCCGCGACTGGAAGCGACAGAGGTTAGTCCTTCTAAGGAAAGGTGAAAAACCTCTAGATAAGGTTTCATCGTACAGGCCTATATGCCTGCTAGATACGATGAGTAAACTTCTAGAGGATATGGTTCTGCAGAGAATGCAAAGCCACTTGACCGAAGAGAATCGTCTATCCGATCACCAATTTGGTTTCCGTAAAGGCAAGTCCACGGTTGATGCCATCCAGGCAGTTGTGGACATAGCCAAAGCAGGAAAAAACAAATTGGGACCTGGGAAAAAGAAGAGCTTCTGCGCGTTGGTAGCAATTGACATACGCAACGCGTTTAATTCCGCAAGATGGAAAGATCTCATCGAGTCGATGGAAAAGAAAAACATGCCGCCCTACTTGTTGCGGATAATGGATAATTATCTTAGCGACAGGTGGGTTATATATGAGGGAGACACCTGCACTCTCAAGGAAGAGATGCAGCGTGGGGCTCCTCAAGGCTCGAGGGTAGGTCCATTTGTATGGAATGTATCTTACGATGATTTTCTGCGAATGGATCTGCCCGAAGGTGCGGTGATCATCGGCTTTGCGGACGACGCGTTGTTCGTGTGCACTGCCGAGAGTGAGGAGGCTCTTGGGACATTGGTGAACGAATGTCTGCGACTAGCAAAAAGCTGGCTGGATACCAGAGGTATCCCTGGAAAAGACCGAGGCATTGCTGGTCACAGACAGACGTGGTTATGAGCTCCCACGAATCGTGATAGACGGATTCGAGGTCAAGTGGAGTAAACAAATTAAATACCTTGGTGTGGAGTTGGATGGAAGGTTAAACTTCCACCACCACATGGCTATGGCGTCGAATAAGGCGATCGAGTGTGCGGCTAATCTTTCACGGCTAATGCCAAATGTTGGCGGACCCCGTGAACAAAAAAGAAGACTGGTGGCGAGTGTCGCCCACGCTAAAATGCTCTATGCAGCACCAGCGTGGGCCCCATCCCTGAGGAGTAAAAGATGTGTGACCATCTGTGAAAAGATACTGTCTGCGCAGAGATCGATAACAACGCGTATCATCTCTGCATATAAGACGGTATCTACGAGTGCTGTGCAGGTCCTTGCAAGTGTCCCGCCAGCAGATCTTTTGGCGAGGGAAAGGGAAGAAATGTTTCTCTTTTCTAAAGAAAGCAGTTCCTTGAATGAGGAATTAAGACCAAGCAAGGGCCTGATCCGCAAAGAAGCGAGGCACAGGCTCATAGAAAGATGGCAAGAAAGATGGGATGGTGAGGAAAAAGATCGATGGACTTATCGCCTTATCCCGGCACTCGCCACCTGGATAAATAGGAAACACGGTCAGGTTTCCTATTACTTGACTCAGGCGTTCACAGGTCACGGGTGTTTTAACTCGTACCTGTGTCGCTTTAAATTACGCGAGAACGAGGTGTGTGCATATTGCCAGTTCCCTGAGGACAACGCGGAGCACACCCTCTTCTCATGCAAGAAATGGGACTTGGAGAGGCGGGCCATGTTCGAAGGTGTAAACAGTCAAGTTACACCGGAGAACATGGTATCGCTGATGACCCAGTCAGAGGAGAATTGGCGGCAAGTCGAGAACTTCATAATCTCGGTTATGTCGAGGAAGGATCTCGACGGCCGCCAAAAAGCGTAATTTAAACAGCTTTTAATTTTGATCGTTTGTTTTTTATTAATTTATTTTGTGATTTATTTGTCCTTATACATTTTTTTTTAATTGTTTGTGTTTTTTTTTATTCATCTTTGTACAGTTTTATGTTTTCAATATTTTATACGCGTTTATTTTTTCTTTTTTTTTTTTTTTCATATATCCGTTTGCAATTTTATCTTTTGACTGTTTACACTTAATTAAACATTTGTTTTATTATTGTTGTGCTGTTAATTCCGCTTTTATATTGAAATAGTTTTAAATTTTTAACTATTAACGCAGGATAACCGCAGAGAAAAGCAGAAAGTCGCATTAGCGACAGAGTTGGAGCGCCACCCTCGAAGGCTAAAGTCTTACGACAGTTCCGAGGGAGGGTAAAGGGCTCCAGAAGAAGGGTTACGGGTTTTAGTGGGTCGGGCTGGCAGTAGGTCGCCAGTTTATTAAATTTACTATTTTATATATTTATTTTTCTTTTTTTTATCTCCTTTTGTTTTATCACACCAACCCCACATAACCTTGGAGTGCGGAATCCAAGGTATCTGTAAGCAGATTTCCCAAAAGTCCCTAAGCAAAAAAAAAAAAAAAATAATAATAATAATAATAATAATAATAATAATAATAATAATAATAATAATAATAATAATAATAATAATAATAATAATAATAATAATAATAATAATAATAATAATAATAATAATAATAATAATAATAATAATAATAATAATAATAATAATAATAATAATTTTTTTTTTTTTTTTTTTTTTGCGTGGGAAGTGGAAAATCTGCTATAACCTTGGAGGCCTACTTCCAAGTCAGATACCTGGAGCCCGTACTCCTAGGTTATGTGGGGATGACCGCTCTTGTTCTGGCCGACCCACTAAAAACCACTCCCTTTTGAGACATATCTCCCCTGGCGGAACTGCTGTCAAGCTTACATCGCCAGTGGAGGTCTCCTTACCTACTTCCAGATCCAAGTCCTTAACAAGGCGCCAGCTGAAGAGGGAGGAGTTCCAATTAAGGTCTCCTCCGTCCTCCGCGAGCGCCCCGCCGAGCAGCAGGAATTCTCCAGGGTAATCTCGCCCTTCTGTCGTTCTCCTTCCTCCTCATGACTTCGATGACAAAAGTCTCGACTTCTCGCCATGAGTCCGCGCTCTGCAACATAATTGAAACCATATTCTCGACCGTGACTTCAGTGCCCACGGCCGAAAACATGGCTTCCCTAAGTTCACGCCAGTGCCCGCAGGAAAAAAGCGTGTGCTCCGCGTCGTCAGTGTACTCTGCTTCGTCGTCACCCGAACCGTTACAGTACACACATTTCGCGTCTGCTTCTATTTTAAACCGATAGAAGTACTGTCCGAAACAACCATGACCAGACATCGCTTGTGTAAGGTAGTAGCCTACTTCACCGTGTTGTCTTTCCAACCATGTGGCGAGGTGGGGAATTAGGCGATGAGTCCATCTACCTTTCAATTCCCCATCCCATCTCTCCTGCCAACTCAGAACGAGTCTTTTTCTTGACTCTAAGCGGATTAGAGCTTTGAGTCTTTCTCTACGCTCCGGGTTGCCTACTAGATCTTTGGAGAGCTGGAAATTCTCCTGCCTTTCCATCGCCAACAAATCCATTGGCGGTAATCTAGCAAGCACCCGAAGAGCGCAATCAGACACCGTTCTGAAGGCTGACGTTATTCTCCTTGCTGGCTCTCTCTGGGCCGAGAGAAGTCTGTCGGAGATGCTGTGGATCTTAAGGGCTGAAGCCCATACAGGGGCAGCATAAAGCTGCTTTGATTGAACCACAGTCGCTACCAGTCTTCGTTTATTTTCCCTGGGGCCACCGATATTGGGCATCATCCTCGAGAGGTTTCCCATGCATTCGGTGGCTTTGAGTGTTGAGATGTTAATATGTTGGCCAAAACTTAAACGTTTGTCCAACCACACTCCCAGGTACTTAAGCTTATTTCCCCATGCGACTTCAGTTCCTCCCATTTCAATCATCGGGGCTTCATAAACTCTCCTGTCTGTGACGAGTAGAGCTTCGGTCTTCTCGAGAGCCATTTTCAGACCATGCCGATATAACCAAAATTCAGCTCGCCGCAGACTATCTTCAAGTTTTATTTTTAGCAGTCTTAAATTCTCGTCGTAACATATTAAAAGCACGTCGTCCGCGAACCCGGATATAGACGTATCTTCGGGTAAGTCCAACCTCAGAAAACCGTCATACATAACGTTCCAGATGGTTGGCCCCACCTTTGATCCTTGGGGAGCTCCACATGTCATTTTCTCTTTGATATGACATGCATCGCTCTCGTAGACAACCCATCTGTCGCTAAGATAGTTGTCTATCATTCGCAACAGATACGTTGGTACCCCTTTACATCTCATTGCTTTCATACAAATATCCCATTTCGCGGAATTGAACGCGTTACGGATATCAATTGAAACGAGCGCGCAAAAACCCTTCTTCCGTCCCTCTTTGACCTTTTTCGCCTTTTCGAGAACTGCTAAGATCGCGTCTACTGTCGACCGGGCCTTTCCTAAAACCGAATTGATTCTCTGATAAGCTATTTTCGCCTACCAGGATTCCCTGAAGTCGCTCTAGAATCATTCCCTCTAGAAGTTTACCCATCGTGTCCAATAAACAAATTGGTCTAAACGATGAGACTTTATCTAGAGGTTTATCCCCTTTTCTCAGGAGGACCAACCTCTGTGTTTTCCAGTCACTGAAAAACTCTCCACTCTCGAGACATGTATTAAAGACGTCGAGGAGTAACTCTGGATACACAGCGATTACCTCTTTGAGGATCTCGCTGGGTATTCCGTCGCTGCCTGGCGCTTTGCCGTTCCTCAACGTCCTTGCCACCTTTTTAAGCTCCTCCAGCGTGAAGAGCTCCTCTCTTTGCACTACACAAGAGGAAAAGTCCTCCCTAGGGCCAGATTCCACATGGGGAAACAGCGCCTTAATAATCTTTCGGACCCAGATCGGATTGTCAAGACCGGGGGTTCTTTGCCTCGAAACTAATTTCTTAGTGACGACTTTGTAGGCCAAACCCCATGGGTCCTTCTCCGCTTCTCCGATCAGGTCCTTCCAACACGATTTTTTGCTACTCTTTATAGCCCGCTTAAAAATATGCCTGGCTTTTGTGCCACTCTTCTTGCAGCAGAAGGTCTCCCTTTGAATGGGTGTATTTCCTCCTCGCTGCGTTGCATTCTCTTCTTAAGCGGGCTAATTCGTCGCTCCACCAGTACAGAGCACCCTTCCTAGCTTTTGTTTGGTGCCGGCGAGGCATAGAGTAATTGCACGCTGCAATAATAACTCGCCTCGCCTCACGCACTTTGTCGCCCACAGAAATTGGCTTCGTCATCCAGCCTAGCTCATGTATAGCTCGAGCCTCGGCCAGAGACTCCGCCAACTTCTCCCGATTTAGCCGTCTGAGGTTCCAGGAGGGTCTCTTGTGGCCAACATGCGGCTTGATGTTCCCTCCCCGATTTATCTCAGCGACTATAAACTCTATGTACTGGTGGTCACTCATAGTTGTTTCGTCCAGCACTCCCCACCGCACTATTCTACGGGCCACGCGGGGCGACGCAATTGTCAAATCGATGATAGACCCTGACACCCCCGCGCTTGAACGTGAACTCTTGTCCCCGGTTCACCACCACTAAATCGTTTGCTGCGACCATGTCCGAAACCAAGGTTCCCCTCCTGTCTAGACGAGTCTCTCCCCATTCCGGCGACTTACTATTAAAGTCTCCCGCAATGAGGACATCCCCGCCGAAAGCTCTGATGCTTTCTTCAAGAGCCTGAACCTCGGCGTCGAACTTTTTAAGGGGATCGTTTGGAGAGAAGTAGCAGCTGTAAACGCGTACCCCCGCCACCCTCCACCCAAACGAAACCCGCGTCGGTCTCCAGAAAGTCACCAATGGTGATGTCCGGGTTACATATTTGGATACCTGATCTCTTGGATGCATCCTCAAACCAGACAGAGGATTCTGGCTTCCTATACTGCTCACTGAAAAGCAGTATATCAGCTCCCCTCTCTCTGGCAGTCTGCATCAAGAGATCTTGCGCGACTTTTCCTTTCCTGAGATTAACCTGGAGAAACCTAAGCTCTGGACTTTAGATCTGTAAGCATCTTCCAGTACACCGGACAGGCCCTGCTCCCTGAAGGATGTTTTGTGTCCTCCATCCCACGATCGGAACAGTCAATGCACTGGGCTGCCCCCTTGCACTGACTCTTCCTGTGGTCGAGACCGCCACACCTCCAGCAAGCCTCCTTTCGGTCCGGCCCACTGCATCCTCCAGCCAGATGGCCGTAACAGAGGCATCTAAAGCACCTCTCTACTTCCACTCTAGCGTGGACTCTGCAGTTGACCCACCCTATTTTCACTCGCCTGGCCTTTAGTAACGACTCCGCTTCCGTTTCCGGGAGCCGTAGAATGGCCTTCTTCGTATTACCATACCGAGCGAAAAGCTGACACGGCAATTCTAAATCCGGCCTGCTAAGTGCACCCCGGACCGCCTCTACAACATCTTGTTGGACTATGGTTTCGTCAAGTGTCTAAAATTTCTATCGACCTCATCCGAAACCACAGTCCTTACTTCTGCTTTTTCCCTGAAGCGCAGCGGTCAAAGCACTGCCGAAACCCAAGACGCCCTGTCCCTTTTTGAGAACCAGAAGGAGATCATTCCTTTTGGTCCTCCGAATCGACAATATCTCCGTCCCCGTATCCTCAGGCCTAACCGCCGCCTTCATTTACTAATTATGTTCGGATCTTTTGCGGATATCACAATTGCATCCGTCGATTTTCTTTCTTTTTACGTGAGGGTCGATCGGTCTCATTGTTCGACTCCCCCGTCATTTCTATCAACTTTTCTTCATCCCTTTTCTTTTTTTTCTTTTTCTTCTTTTTTTGACCTCTTTCCAGGTTCATTTTCCTGGAGAGAGTTCAATTTCTCCTTTTCTTCGGCAGCAGGCTTGCTGTCCCTTGGGTCCAGCTCGCATGTTTTGCCCTTCTTTTTCTCAACTTTTCTCTGGTGGTGTCCCAGAGGCCATCTCTCTTTCTTCCTTTTCTTTCAGAGTTCGGAGTCGCCAAGGGTATTGTCCCCTGGCGGCCTCGAGCTTTCTTCTGGCTGAGGGAATCCACTATCTCTAAATTATGAGAAAAGCAGGCCCCCTCCTCCATCATATCCTTTAAGATGCCTCTGAGGCTATCACTATGGTGATATGCCTCTCTGGCACTGATTTTCACCCTCCCTGGAGTTGTTCTTGAGCATCCCTTCCTGTCACTATTTCTAGTGAGTTGAAGAGTTGCTCAACCACCACAGACTGCTTCTCCATAAGTCCAAGAATGACTTGCCATTCTTCGACGATCGGTGAAGCAGTCCGCGATACCAGGGTCTCCTTTTCCTTTTCGATGATGGACTCAGAGGAAACTACGCTCTCCGTCTCCATCATCACTTTTCCGTCACCGTTATGGTCAGAAGGACCAGTGTGCTGTTGGCCCCCTCCAAATCCGTGGGCCTTGCGTCGACCATCGGGGCTTTCACCCAATCGGAATCCACGGCAGGATTAGCCTCTGTCGAGGTACCTGCTTGGAGGATAACGTTCGTTACATCACACATTCATTAAAAACGTAGTTCGGTATTTGATATGGGTGTGATGCTTAACAGTGTAAGTGATTATTGTGTCTGTTATGTAAGTGGGTGTACCCATATCAGTGTGAAAAAGAAGTGTAGTATGTATATGTTGCTATGAGGAGCTCTGGAGGCCAAGACCAGCCGGAACTCCCCTTACGTACTTCGCGACCAGGAGAATAACGCGTTTATAGCGCATCCCACACTCATACTCAGGAAGAAGCCTCTCCGGAGGGTTCCCCTTTCACCTCACCAACATAAAGGCGCCGTTTAGAGGCTTAAACCTTTCAGATTCATACTCAACCCTGCTATCC